GGTTATAGGATGAAACTTGTCTCTATTAGCTAAACATCTTCTTAACAGGTCAGGTTCCTCTAACAGAAACCTAAAAATACTCACATTTATAATATTATTTTACACTCTGTGGGTCTAAATATTAATCAGAGGACAAAGTAATATTTAATAGTTTGTTAAATTGTAGCATGAGTCAACAGTGCTAAACTCTGTATACGTATATGCTCCACAAGCTAATATCTGCTAACCAGTTCAATAAATAACAGTGATTACATCGACTTTATAAGATTATTTTAATTTTAAACTGTTACATTATGTTCTGCTCAGATCACATTGAGCTAAATAAGATCAAATCTGCTGACCTGTGTTGTGAAATGAGACATTTTCCTGTTTATCTTCTGTTAATAAATCCATAACACAAACAACCTTTCTGACATTATTTAAAATATTAGACAGATTATATAAACTGTAAAATATTAATAATAATTGGATTATTATTATTAATAGTTTTAATGATTTCTACATCGTCAGGTCTTTTTTTCTGCTCTGTTGTCAACATGTACAGTAATGGGAAATCCAGACTTGCCCGTTTAGCGTTAGCCGTTAGCTTCTCCAGCCGATCACACGGTCACATGGTTTTTGCGCACTCCAGCTGTTCTATAGAGCCTTCTTGTTCAAAAGTAGCTGGCCATGTCAAATCTGCATCTAGCTAGACTACTTTTGCTGAGGCCTAGTCGTACTGGGAAGTGGGAACTTCCTACTTACGAATTGTAAATTTAATCTGGAATGCCCCTCCGGGGTAATTCCCTGTCAGGATATGGAAGAGTTCAGAATTCAAGATGGCAGCTACTCACCACAACTCACCAGTGAATCTCTTTTACTTTTATAAGCACTTCTGTACTATTTATTTCACATTTAGTTTATAAGAGGATGTTAAAATGCTGTTTCTATGCAGAAAATACCATGCTTCATTTTTAGTTAAAGTTAAACACGAAGTTATTTACAACTGGCTCTTTGAGGGCCACCATGGTACTCATGTGGCCCTCGGTGAAAATGAGTTTGACAACCCTGCCCTAAAGGACAACAACTTTACTTTAAATACCTAGAATTCAATGTTTATCGTCAGCCTCCGTTCACCTTGGAGATTACAACTAACAACATCCCACAATAAGAAATAGTCATTTTGGTCAAATATAAGTATTGTTATGGGAGAACTCACGAAACACGTTGGAGATTAGTTTTGGTTACTGCCACATCACATTTGACATCAATATTTGTAACCGTGATTGAATTATAGCGAAGATTAATTAACCGTAATCTATTTGTTGGTTAATGAGATAGTTAAAGGGGACCTATTATGCAAAATTCACTTTTTAAAAGGTTTTTTTACTCAACTTTGGGTATGTACTTCTTTAAAAAAAACAGTCCTAGGACCAAAAAAATGCACCCAGGGGCATATTTACTGTAAGTAAATGTATTTTTAATGTGTATTAACGACAAGTTTTATACTTCCGTCATTTTGTGATGTCGCAAGCCGTACGACAACACACCAGAACCTGCGTTCAGCCCCTTACCTAGCAACCCCCGGGTTAGACTCCTCCTCCTCAGTATAAAAAGCCATCACAGTGTTGTTGAGCAATGCGCAGCTCATTTCACAACAAGCCTTCCAATAGGGTAATGGGTAGAGTGCTGGCCCAGAGAGCAGGAGACCAGGGTTCGAGACCAACATGAACACAAACAATTTCATTATTTATTTTCGCTCCTTATGAACACGTTTTTAGCTGTAGCCTATCAGTTCGAGTTTCTGAGGTATTTTTTTGTCTAATCATATTTAAAAGATAATCCGTTGGGTCAAAGAAGTCTGCCTCAAGGTTTTCAGAATGAACAGTAAAGGCAGCTGGAGGTCCAGACAAACTGCATTGATAGCCTTTGACCAATCAGATGTTTACTTGGTGACATCAGAGCCTTCCAGCTAGTCTGAGACACTGTCAACATTTTCATGTTTGTTTGAACAAGCTGAGAACAACAGTCGTAGCTTCTGTAGCTTCTCACAAGCTAAATGCAGAGTGGACATTCACAGTGTTACAGAAAATTAAAACTCATGACAAAATTAAAAAAAAGACAGAACAGACTGACATTCAGTGTTAGCTTTCACTGCAGTAACAAAGAAATTGTTGAAACAAAAACACCATAAGGACCTGTGTGACAGAGGGAACGTTTGAGGGAAAAAAGTTTTCTGGACATATAAAATGTTTTTGTGAGTAAAATGTATTCAAATGTTTAATTTTGCTGTCAGTTTATTATATCCGTATTGATGTTTTAGTTAAATGCATGTGGCACAGCTGTGGCTGCAGTTGAAGGAAAATTGCTGAATTGCAATTTGTTGTTTCAGAAATGACGCTTCATTCTTGCTACGTGAGACACCCGTCTGTGGTGCAGCACCGTATTATTTCACGCGTCTGTATATTTTTAATGGTTTTTATAGCTGTGGCATCATGTCAACAGTTACTGTTGACCAGACGTGACTTAAAGAAAATAGTCCTTTTCTTCATCCCAAGCCGACTACACTACTGTAACTCTTTCTGTCAGATCTAGCCTCCAGCTTGGCTTGGCCTATCATTTCACCGGCTCCCTGTGTGCCAAAAAATAGGTTTAAAATTTCTCCTGTTGACTTATAAATAAATGTCCTGAAAGTTAGGGGTGAAGCTCAGAGATGGGGCTTCGTCAGTCGTAGCTCCTAAACTCTGGAACAATCTGTCCCTCAGCAGACAGGCCTTTTCACCTACTCCTTTTAAAACCTCTTTAAAAAAACACATCTGTTCCCAGGAAATGTCACCCAGTGTGAGGAGTTTTTGTATTTTATTGTTCTTTTGTTTTTAAATAATTATTTATATATATATATTGTATCTTTGCCTTTGTCTAACTTTAATTTTATTGTGTTCTTTACTTGGGTTGAAACTTTTTAAAATGTGCTTTACAAACAAATTAACTTGGCTCCGCTAATATGATACTAAATGTTATCTCAAAATCTGTATAACTGATCAAGTGGTTAATTAGATACAAATAACGAGCCCTGAGCAAAAACAATGTTGCTGTTGTGACTTCAGCAGCAGGTGATAATGTCTCAGAAAATGATGCACTTGAGTTCACAACTCAGTACCACTGCTGGCCATCTTTTAGAGACAGTTATTTTTGAGTGCATCATATAAGTTTAAACAAAGTAAGTCAAACCTGTAGAGGAGAAGCAGCGTTCCCAGTGCAGTCCTGTAGCAGAGCAGCAGAGGCCCAATGAAGTCTAACATGGAGAGGAACTCCACCAGCCAGGGCACAGTCAAGATGGTCCGCCTCCTCTTCATACTGTTACTCAGCACGGCACACACATCCAGGACCTGAGCTCTCTGCAGCGTAAAGAAAAGGTTTGTTTGGATGAAACAAAATGTGGCAAAAAGCTTTGCAGCAAAGCAACCAAAACAAACACAGCGAGCACATTCAGAGGAAATTAATTTGTTGTGTTAGTTCTGATAAATCTGATTATCACAGACGGACATATGTAAAAGGTGTATATGTATGATTAAAATTTTGGCATTAACTGTTAAAGTCAACCGTGTCTGTCTGTTAGCAGAATATCTCATAAAGCACTAGAAAGATTTTCAGAAAATGATCAGAAAATAATCAGCATATGTACGTCTACAGCTCATTATTAAAGTCAATTAAAATCAAGATAGCAGCCACAGTTATTTGATCTTAGACTGATTTACAGACATTTTTATTCTGGCTATCTTAAAAATACTGAGCTAAAATGAGAGTCGTTAACAGTAAATACAGTATATCAGGATATAACAGGTCACGTGACAGGGCTCTAGAGTGCGACCAATTTGGTCGCAAATGCGACCTGATTTCTTAATAGTGCGACTAAAAAAAATGTCCGGTCGCAGTGGTGCGACCAATCGTTCGAAGGCGAGGGGTCGCGGTCGCCCGCTGAAAAAAAGTTTCCATGTTCTATAAAAAATAATCCAGCAGTATCAATGGTTGCCCTCCGACAGTCTCCTCTCTCCTAATACTGCGCTGTGCTCGCGGGCTCCGCTCCACACCTCCTGCGCACACACGTTTGTTATTCTATCCTCATGGGGACTTTGCATTGGCTTCCATTCATTTCCCCATCAATTCTACAGCCAACCATAACCTCCCAGGTAGACTACACACCTGACCCAAACCCTAACCTCACCAGGCTGTGTGTACCGGGGAAATGGTCAATAACTGTACACATCGTGGAACAAAAATCTGTACGCACGCATAGCGAAACAACCGTAGTTTTTTTTTTATTCATTTTTACCCAGATCGGAGTCTAAAAAACATTTCTTTCTTGTTAGCTGGAGATGAAAAGATGTGGACAGTTGCTCGCTCGTCCATCTTGTTAATTTAACAGTCGGGGTCTACTCTGTGAGCAGATCATTTCAGCAGGACGAGGAAGCTCACATTTATGGCAGGCCGCTTTTTTACTTAATCGACTTCACCACAGTTTCATTCCAAGTATCTGAAATAGGTTCTTCTGGGTCTCAGGAGGATAAGACTAGATATTTTAGATACTGTATTTAAGTGAAATAATATAAGATAATAAGATTCAACTAATGATGAAATTGCAGGCTTTTATGTGTTATTATTTAAAAAGAATTTGCACAACTTTTTAATAAATATCAGTAATATTTCTGTTATTAATCATTATTCTCTGTTCATCTTTCTGGTTTATCCAAGGCCAAAGATCCATAGTTGTCCATCTGAGGGGCAGGTGTCTAAAAAAGATTTAACCATGAAATGTTTAAGATGTTTATAAGACGTTCAGCTCTTAAACATTTGCACTTAGAGTTTTATAGAATCACTGTAAATACTTTTCAGTAAGTTAAATGTCTACAATTCTGGTTCAAATAAAAAACTTCATGTTCACTAGATAGTTAACTAATTATTTATGAGTTAGTGTTGCCTTAATGAACAGTGATTTAAAAAATAACCTGTAAAACTCTGATGTTAAATGCGACGTGGTTGAAAATTTGGGTGCACCTAACTTTTGTTCTGGTGTGCCTAAGAAAAAATGTTAGGCGCACCAGTGCAACCAGTGCAAAAAGTTAGTCTAGAGCCCTGCGTGAGCTCTCACATAAACACATCCATCCTCTACATAATATGATATTAGCTTCATATTTGGACCTGAATGGCAGGAGGTAAATATGCATCCCTTAAAAAGGAAAGCTAGACCACTTCATTTGACATGAATCATAACAACTGATATACAATGTGGTGATAAATTTGCTTCACCTTGCTGCGCAGAGCTAAAGACGTCTCGTGTATCTCTCGTGACGGTCTCTCAGATGTTTGGTAAGGGAAAAAGGAAATGAATCCCAGGAACTTTGCTAGAAGACGGGCCAGGAGCAGCACCGAGGAGAACCGCTGCTTCTCATCCTGTCAGGGGGTTTAATCGGGACAGTCACTGCTACATGTGTAATTTCGGGGACAACCCATGCTAAAATGCTTTGCATCCTACATAACAGCGATCAGACCTGCTGCTCCATGTCTCCATCTTCCTCCTCCTCCCCTCCATCCCCGATGGAAGCAGGAGGGCTGAGTATGGAAACCTCATCCAGCTGGAGGAGCTGCTGACACAAGCTGTCCTGGAGGTGCTGGTTAAGCTGACAGCTGGTATACACAATATAAGACATCTTACATT